CATCTGCCTACTCGTGTCGACTACTCCTCACGACGACGTGGCAGGCCAATTACCATGACGCTCGGTCCTCATCTTCTACTATCTTACATGCCTGACCTCCGCTCTGTCGGGCTTCCCAAACTCCGCGCCTTTTCTCCGATCTTCCCCTTCCCTCCGCCATCAAAACCTCTCCTCAATTCCCTTACATATTCTTCTTCTTCTTCTTCTTCTTTCGCCTAGTCACATCTGCCCATCGTGTCGACTACTCCTCACGACTATGTGGCGGGCCAATTACCATGGCGCTTGGTCCCCATCTTTTACTATCTTGGTTGCGATCGTCATCCTCGTCGCAATGATGTTCTGGGCCAAGTCATCCACCATAGCCGACCTAATGATAACTCTGTTGTCATGCCAACCCATACAGCCGCGGTGCTAAATTTCGTCCATTAGTAAGTCTCTCCACTCCGAAATGTTTTTTTTCTCTTCCTAATTGTTTTTGCCAAACAACCCCAGTTCTCTTACTCCACCCTTCCCCTTTTCTTCTTCCTCTTCAGATTTCCCATTCCGTTCCCGTACCCCAGGCCCCAGTCTCCTTTTCTGCACCTTACGCTTTGTGGTCGTACCGTTTTCATCGACTCTCTTTCGTCCACTCTCTTCTCCCATTCCGACCCTCTCTCCGTCTCTCTTCCTCTTAATCATCATCTTTCTTCTTCTTCTTCTTCTTCTTCTTCTTCTTCTTTTCACGTCGACTCTCGCTCCTCCTCGACCTCACGCGCTCAGAGATGACGTGGCTCCGCCAATTTTTTGTTTTGTGGGAATTCTGAATTCTGGACTTACTGTGACATTCCCGGGCTCGTCGACAACGAAGACGGAGGCGGCGAAAAAAGTAGGACAAGGGAGGGGGCGAGAGAGAGAGAGAGAGAGAGAGAGAGAGAGAGAGAGAGAGAGAGAGAGAGAGAGAGCAATAAAGGCGTTTCCCATCTGGTTTAATCTACTCTCTAGATAACAGAGGACAGAAAGGAAGAGAAGAAGAAGTCCTGGCATCCACGTGAGTGGCATGGAGCAGAGTCTGGCGTATTACATGAGCGAGAAAGGCGACATCGGCATACCGAAGAGAAAACCATAAGAGAACAGGACAGAGAGTGGCGCGACACAAGGGAAGAGTGGGAGGGAAAGCGGTAAACGAGGAACGTCACAGCAAATGAAGGGCAGAACTGAAACCCCTGGGGCTGTTCTGAAACCCCTGGGGCTGCCCCGAGGCGGCAGGCTGGCCACGATTTTTGACAGACGACGGCTCAGGAGCGGGAGAAGAAGACGAAAAGGTCGCGAGGAAGAAGTTAACGGGGAGGTTGAAAGCCACGAAGGCAAATCAAGGAGCGGAAGAGCGGTAAGAGGAGAGGGGGTCCAAGAGGTGGTAGGGGAGAAGGGGGAGGGAGGGGGTTAAGAGGGAGGGAGAGTGAAGAATTGATTGCATTCACACGAGGAAAGAGAAAGAACATCAAAGTCGACGAAGACAAGGGGACGCGAGAGGACGGGCAAAAACGAGGCGGCTTCGTTAGCTTAACGGTGTGGGGTTTTGCAGAGAGAGAGAGAAAGGAAACCATCGCCGTGGACGTAGACAAGAAAATGAGAGCGACAGAGAGAGAGAGAGAGAAGCACAATCATCGTTGGCGAAGGGCATACTCTCACACTGGTAGGACTTTCCGATTCGCCTTTGGACGCAATTGTGGTCAGATGCGTCCAGGCCGAGCTGCAATTGCGGTTACATACGTCCAGGAAATGCCTTTGCGGGTAAGGAAAAGAGAAGAAATTCCTTGTGCGAGTATGATCTAAGAAAGAACAAGAAAATGAGAGGGAGTCGAGGCACAGCACAGAGAAACAGCGGCTTCGTTCGTTAGCTCACCGGTTGCCGGGGGGGTGCAGCAGCAGAAGCCAAGCGAAGTGAAAGGGAAGTCATTGGCTGGAGCCCAGCTATGTTGACGGCCCGGCTATGTCGACGAAAGCATTCAGCTGCCTGGCAGCTTGCAAGCGCGGGCGGACTCACAGTGAACCTGTGTCACCGGTTCACCTCACACAATGCGGAGGCAAGCTCGTTCTGGGCCTACTGTAGCGCCACCGCTTGGCAAATGCGGCAATGACATCAAAACGGCGAACGTATCTTTCCACCTTCTAGGGGACTATACACTCAGAAATATGTTTTGCGCATTTGGTGCGTAGGACCGCACACTGCGGCAAATGTGAGAATGACAGTGAAAAATACGGGAACTTACATATCCACCTTCTTGGGAAACATGCACTCGCAATTTTTTTCTACACAAATTTCGCTCCCAACTTGGGCCGACCGTAGTTGCATCACTTGCCATCCCCCAACATTTTGAATGCATCTTGGCAAATTATCCGTCCAGATGCATCAAAACTCTTAGCGGCAGGCGAGTGGTATACCTGACACCAGGCACTTTCACACAACCTTCGGTTGGTGAGCCGCGCAATGAGGCCCTCAAAAAACATTGGGTTGGTGAGCCGCGCAACGAGGCCCTCATTTGTCGGACGAGACCAACGCCTCCCCCCTCCCTCCTCCCTCCTCCCAGTCGCCAGCCCCCAGACGACAGCAATCACCGTCGCAGCGTTGAACCCTTGGAGAAATCGACTGTGTACCTTGGAGAAATCGACTGTGTACCGCGCACGGCGCGGAGGTGCAGCCCGGAGGTAGGGAGGCAGCGAAGTGTTTGTCCTGGCCTTCCCCGGATGGTTAGCAGATGTAGGGAGGACTATGTCACGGAAACAGAGGTGTGAAAGCTCCATCTATTGGTGGGGAGCAACACCTGCTGGAAACCGGGTCCAGCGTCCCATAGATACAACCATATCCCCACAAATTGGCACAAACTGGGAACCGGGCCCAGCGTCCCATAACGAGTACGTTCAGAAGACTCCATAAGAAAAAATTCTACTAGAAAATCTAATTGGCCTAACGATGGCATTTGAAACATGAGATACATGGGCCAAGCTACTTCAGACTATGACAACATCATGATTAAGCAAAAAAATTGAATCGACTCAGCAAGATCCCCATCAAGCCACTTTACCTCCCTCCGGCAAGACTGACTGCAGCGGAGCCACCATCTCTGCTGCTGCTATGCCATACTCCCATCCTACCAGCTAGCCCCGTCACTGGTAGGACGCGTGATAACCCACCATCTTCTCCAGCTCACCTTATTTTCTTTTGAAGAACCTAAGAACTCTTACTGTCGTTCCAGAGGCATAAGAAGAGGCCACAGAGGTCCTAAGATTGTTCCAAAAATCGAAATCCCACACAGGCCCTTCCAACGTTCTCCAAGACTGTCATACTCTCTGCCGATCTCTTCTAGGTCTCACACCCCCACTTCTGCTGGGTTACAGGGCAACGCAGCTCACCCCAGCTCCGACCAGCGTCGTCCCGGCAGCATCCCTTGGTTGTCCCGTGGGAAGTCCCCCCCCAGACTTCCCCAGATCTCTCTACCAGACCTCATGCTCCTGCATCGCAGGTTACAGGGCAACACCCCAGCACCGGTCAGCGTCGTTCTGGCATCGAACAACCACAGATCACTGAGTATAACAGCGTTGGAACTACCTAGGAAGAGTATCGGGTTCTTTGAATTGAGAAAAAATCGCGAAGATAAAATTCGCGAAGATAAAATTCGTTTTAACTAATCAAATAGGAAAATCATTTAGCTGATATATCCAGAAGAATGCGATTTAACAGATGGAAATCAAATTATGAGAATCAGAATTAGAGACCAGAATCAAATAAAAAACTGAAGGAAAAACTAGATACTAGAGTTAGTCATATCACTCAACTAGAAAAATCATCTTAGGAGGACAAAAGCCTAGCTGGAGAAGAGTACCCCAAGTCCCACACTTCATTAACCCCCGATGTGGGTCTTTTTCGTGTATTCAGACAATTTGTTAATCATTTGGACGATTCAATAATCTTGTTTTAACAATCCCGTTTCAGGCCCGGACTTAACCTTGCATGGAATTGATGGGCTGAAGAAAAAAAAAAAAAAACAATGAAAAAAGAGATAGATTCGGGCGTAAAGTGCGGACATTCCTGAAATAGAAGGAAAACAACAAAAGGAGAAAAAGAAGAGAAACAACGAATTGCTCCTGACAGCGGTCAGATACATATTGGAAAGTACTAGCGTGAGTGCACCGTGCCTTCTTGGTACGACTCTAAGGGGAAAAAAACGAAATTGAAAAAGCAGGTTCCGACAGCAAGCGTTATCCCAGGCTTGACCAGCACGAACTGTGTCAGAGCTAACACATGCTCCTCATCTTCTACCTGCACACACCCCCACACCCACACCCACACCCACACCCACACACAGATACAAACATCAATCGAGTGTGACATTAGTTTCACAACCACCCAGAGGAATGTCACGTAAGTGGCATTCCACCACAGGGTAGAACACTCTTCTACCCGCAACCGCACCCACACCCACACACACACACACACACACACAAGCAATCAAGTATAGCATTATTGTCAAAACCAACCAAACGAACATCAGGTAAGTGACATGTCACCACAGGGACATGAAGAGGCATGGTTGCAGATAGATGACAAGGGGTCATCGGGGTAAATGCGGAGCTTGAACTTTGTTGATGTGGCCAGATCAAGGAGACGAGGAGGTAACGGTATGAGGGGGATACCAAAGGCACTGGATTGCTTCCTTTCTTTAATTTTCCATTTCATTTTCTGATTCCCTTTGTTTTTCAATGAGGACATTCCCTTACGGGTCCTGGTCCCGTTTCTATGCACAGGAGCTCAAGTACAGTTCCTATTTCACTGGCAAGTCACAAACGTACAAAACTATTGGAATCAATAAAAAAAATGGACCCCGGAGGGTTGCATCTAATTGCTTCCT